TGTGTGTGTGTGTAGGTGTGCTGTGTGTGTGTGTTGGTGTGTGTGTGTGTGAATGCGTGTGTGGTGGTGGTGTGGTGTGTGTGTGTTGGCATGGTGTGTGTGTGGTGTGTGTGTTAGGTGTGTGTGTGTGTGTGGAGCAATCGAGCCGAAGTGGAGTGAGATAAATGATAGTCAAGACTAGGAAGGACATGTGTGTGGTTGTAGAGGTAGTGGTGATGGAGGTGTTGTTGATGTGTGTGTCCGTGTGTGTGTGTGGGTATTACAGGCGCAGTCTGTTGTTGGACTGATTGTGCGTGTGTTGTTGTGTTGGTGTGGTGGTGTGCCTTGCTTAATACTTTCAAGCTGTAAGCCGCGAAAATGTGTGTGTTTTGAGTCGCTAGTGCTAGTGGACGGATTAGGAGGGCTGCTGTGTGTTGTGTAATGTAATATGCGTAGACTGTTTTTGTGACTAAGGGGTATTATAGGCTGTGGTGATTCGTGTGAATCGTTCTAAAACTTTATATGGTAGTGGTGTGTCCTGTGGTGTGTGTGTTGTGTGGTGTGGGTCATATCACCCGAGGTTTTAGTGAGGGAGATGTGTCGTTTTATATCCGTGTTGTGGCTCTGAATGTCTGTAATGGTTGATAGTTGGTTTGGGCAAAGAAGTTGCTGTGTGTGTGGTGTTCTAAATTGAATTTTTGTGGGTGGCATTTGCCCTGCTGTATGGTGATGGCTCGTCACGCTCGTAGAATCTCGAAAGTTTCATGTTTTGCTGGGTGTTGTGTGATTGTGGTGGCGTGTGGTGTGTGTTGTAGGTTGTGTGTGATGCAATACGAATATTGGAGTTCGTTTTTTCGGTCGCCGACGCATTTGTGTGTTGTGGTGTGTGTTGTGTGTGTGTGTGCGTGTGCTTTTTTGTTGGTTCATGCTCGCTCGGTGTGTGTGGTTTCACGACGCCTGATTTTACCGAATTCCGGTGTGTGTGTGGATGTGTGTTGTGTGGTACGTGTTGTGAGATGTGTGGTGTGTGTGTGTGTGGCTGTGTTGTGTAGTGTTGTGTGTGTGATTTCTGTGGTGTGTGTGTGTGTGGTTGGGGGGTGTGTGTGGTGTGTGGTGCCAAGTGCATCATTTAGGGGTGTATTTTGGGTGTCATTGATTAGCCCCCCGGGAATTTGACATTTCGTGTTTTCTGTGGATCGTAATATTTTTTGCTGTGTAGTATATGGGTAAAAGTATTTTTGTCATGTTGAGTCTAGTGATGGGTATTTTTGTAGTATAGTGTTGTGTGTGTGTTGGTGTGGTGAGTACATATCTTGCGGCCTGTGTGTGATTGTGTGTGAGGGTGGTTGTGTGTGTGCCGGGTTGTGGTGCAGGGTTGTAACAGTGCATTGCAGGCGGGTGCAGATAGATATAGGATAGGGTAAACGTATCGGGTACTTGAGATTTTCTATCATGGTCTGTGTTTAGAAGTGCGTGGTGGTGTGGTGAGTGTATGGCTGGGGTGATGGTGTGTGTGTGTGTTATTGTTGGTGTGATTGTTGGTGTCAGATCGGTGTGTGTGTCTGTAGATCGAGAGATCAGTCTGTTGTGTGAGTCTGGAGAGTTTTGCTCTTATTGTTGTGTACTGGTGCGTGGTGTGGATGTTGTTGGATCGGTCTCTTACAGGAGATTATGCTGGTAAGAGAGTTGTCTGTGTGGTAGGTGGTTATGGAGTGTTTGTGTGTGTGTGTGTGTGGGTGTGGGATGATAGTAGGGTGGATACGGTACCGTGCTATGGTAGGGTTGTGTGTGCTGGTGATCTTGAGCTGTGCCGTGGAGCTTTCTCTTTCACTTATGAGTGGGGAGGTGTTGTGTGTGCCATTGGGTGTAGAGTGTGTCGATGTGTGTGGTTGTGCCGTGATTGTTTGTGTGTGTAGCGTTGGGATATGATGAGTTGCTTAAGATAGGTGGTGTGTGTGTAGTGTGCAGAGTGTTGCTGGGATGATCGACTTCTGGTGTTGTGGTGGGAGTGAGTTGTACGGGTTTGAACTGTTGGGGTGTGTTGTGTCGTGTGTGCTCGGGTGGTTGTGTGTGTGTGGGATGGGAGGGTTAGAGTGATTGGGGTGGTCTGTGTTTGGTAAGAATGGATTGTGGGGGTGTGATAGTGTTGTAGAATTTGTGTGTGTGTCGGAACAGGTCGGCTTGTTGTTGTGTGCTCGTGGCCTTGCTTATTTGGGAGTTAGAGTTACATGTATTAGAGTTCTTACATTTTTTGTCCATTGATGTCATTGGGTGTAGTGCTGATGTATGTGCGTTGTGTTGGGTGTGATGTGTGTGACCGGAAATTTCATAACTTACGTTCTTGATGCCAGATGTGCGGCTTGCGTATCTTGTATAGAAAACTGGTAGCATTTTGATGATATAACTCGGCCCCCCGCGGCCCCCCCGGTCGGGGTGTCTTGGTCATTTTAGTTGGGTTACGCTAGGTTAAATGGTCACAGTTGTTGGGCATACAACCCTGGACCAATGAAGTGGGTGGGCGGAAAGTGATAGGTACTGAGAGAAGCTGATCAACGGACGTCAAATAATGCCGATGCCACCAACTTCCTTACGCCAGTTGGCAGTTCGGCAGGTGGGTGTACTGAACTAGCATATCTCTCGCCATGAATATTTTGTCAGTGAGCTAGAAGACTAGCGACCAAATGGTAAGCGAGAGTGAAAGTGAAGTCAGTCCGCCAATAATTTGATAACGTGGGGGGTCTCTGATGTAAGGTTGGAGTCTTTACCATGGCAATGTGGCGTACTGCGCAAAGATTTTCGCAAGCGTTGCACTTGTTGCGTTGATCCTAAGATTGCGCACTCTGTGAGAATGAATATTATGTGGGATACAGGGGTGACAGTGCGGCAGTGAGCTATGATCAGCGGTCTGAGCTCGTTGTTCGGTGCATCAGTTAGAGAGTCACTGCAGCGAGCAAACAGTGTGAGGCAACGGTACGGGAGGCAGGAAAATGGGCAATGGCTGCTTGGCCCCCCAAAATAAATGTTGGTAAACAGTTAAGAGTTGATTCACCTATTAAGACACTATGACCGGGCAAGGTTAACAGTGACGGTCTCCAAAGTGTGCGGATACCACCAGTTATCGTGCGGTCTTCGTGGCAGTTTGTGACAGTGAATATAGCTCCTACACGCTACAAAGATGGGACGGGAGATACGGTGAATATGGGGAAGAAAAGGAGGTCGGAAGGGCATGTGCACTTAAGAAAAATAGCGACATCTTGAGTGCGCACTCGGTTCAAAACTTAAAGATCCTAGCACGGGAATATGTTCCATTCCACCCTTTCGTCTAAAAAACGCAAAGGAAGTTGAGCTGCCTCCACTATCTGGGACTTGGACTAATAGCGAATAAAATCAAATTCCAATTTCCATCATCGATTGATGCCTGTTGGATTTGGTCTGTATTCCACTTACACACCGATTTCTTCAATTGGTGGGATTTCTATAAACGCTATAATTTCGCCCGAGCTCCGATATATCAATGCTAAATTGTTTACGAAGTCATGATAAAAGTACCATCCTCCATTCCGCATGCTAACTGCGCCGCATTACGCGACAATTTTCAGGTAAAACTGGGACAACCTTTAAACATCATGTGAAACATCTTCCAAAACATCTTACTCTGTAGTTTCTCAGTCACGTGACCTAATATTCTGCCAAGCTGTCCAATTTCACTAAAGCCCACCATTTGATGCGCGCGGTTGCGTGCGGAGCTAAACTGGTGGTCAATAAACCATGTGATATTTAGTAGCCAGTAAACTATTGCAAAATACATCGCCCTCAGGTAGCTTTCGTAGCTGTAATGAAAAAGAGCTAGTTTGGTTTTTCAGAGTCTATAAAGATATTCCACAGGTTGAAAGGTGAATTTTCACACCGGAAAAGTGCTCGAAACAAAATTCTTCACAAAATGAAGATTGTAAGATATCTACAAGTAGCAAGTAAAGCTAAAATTCATAGATAGCAGAAAATATCAAAAGATGCGATAATTTTATAAATCCTAAGTTTGACCTTTTTACATTTTCGTGGTTGCATTTATGGCTTTGTGTTTCGAATCAAATTCAGGGATGGCACTATTTCCTAATTATGACCGCGCCATTGCATATTTGACACACTGACGACAACGTGGGTTTTGTCATTTTTGGCCGCGTGGGACCAGCGCGATTTGCGAGCGCGGCCGCCCAGGTCACTCGAGCAGGTTTCGAGTAATCAATGCATGGATCATAATCAATTCACAACTAGATCAGATCAATTCCGATGAGTAGAAGCTACCCAGGGGTACAGCAAAGAAATTCAAATCGAAAGATGTGAAATAACAATGAACCAGTGGACCTCAGAAGCAATTTTATCTTGATTGTTCAAAAAATCAAAACACATACATTGTCATCCCTCGGGTTCAATGTCTCCTTCTACTACTACTACTTATTTTGACCTTTCATTATTCTTTATTCATAAATTGAAGATTTCATAAGGGTTTGGAAACTTCTTCTAAAATAGACCACACGTGACCATTCTATGAACCACTATATTTGTGTCCATTATTGTATGTATCATGACTTGTATTATAACAAGACATGTGCGAGCTAAACGATTGTAATTGGTGCCGTAAACATCTATCCCGCACGGTCTGACCTGCAAACGGGATATACAGTAGAGGTCAAAAGTGTTCGCCAAAACGGTTTTCCGTACTTATCTTTTTTTTGTCAGAAAAAATCAATGGTGGCCTCTAAGATTTTTTTTCAAGAATCCTCATTCTCCAAGACTTGTGGATATAAAAACATTAGGGAACACAGTACATCAATCTTTAGCGGGAGCGTGCTACTCTAACGAGAAAAAATAATGCACTAAAAATCGTTTCGGCGAACACTATTGATCGCTACTGTATGGTTCCCGCGTTGTCGCCAATGTGTTAAAAGCATTCAAAAAAATATAAGCAGTCTACCATGCAAAAACACATGAGCATTGTCCATGTGTTAACCAAAATTTTACAGAGCGATTACCTCCCAACACCAGCAGAAGGAGCCGGCGAGGTTGCTCAAGCTACCAGTACTTCCGATATTCGAGGTAAGCACCTCTACTTGCACAAATGCATGTTTGTTTTCGGATTTTAGTCCGTTGCAGTTTACAAGTCTAGTCTACAGTAGGGATCAGAAGTTTAGACGGATTTCGCGGTGAAAATTAGCCATTGAAAATGACCGCGAAATCCGTCTAAAGGTGGAGGTGGTCAATGGAGTGAGAATGAAAAAGAAACCATGTAAAATGGCGCGAAGCATATGAAACGGGACCCCTTCCCTGCCCGTTGATTTGCTCATCGATGCAAATCTCATCATTGTGCCCTCTTCAACACAGGCTCTCTCTGCCATTTAATCACGCGCTTCGTATAGACCTGCGGCAAGTGATTAGATAGCCGGTGGGCGTTCCGAGCAAACTTCGCCAAAAGAAGGCTATGTTAGATCGCCGGGGGTATATCATTCGATGTGAATTGTGTGCTGGTCCGCACACTCATTGGGTCCACCTGACTCTCCACTAATTTGAAACTTAATGCGGTAGCTTAAATGGTGGAGTGTATGTAGCGTGCGGTACGTCACCGCACCTTCGATTTGCCTGCGGGATGACCCCACCTAATTGTTTGCACTGAATACTGACCATCGTCGATAGCTACGAAACAAGTAACAGAGAGCTGTGAAAATTGTTTTGAGCGTTGAACTACCAATCAAAAGCCAAAACTTTCGATTGTCAATTAAAACCGTACTACTGTTATACAAAATACTGAATGAAGCCGAACAAAAAACACACATAATCTCTCGAGAATTATATTGCCTTGCTGGCAACATATTTTGACATTATTTTTCATTATTTCCCTGTGAAATTACTCCGCTCCTTGAGTGGCCCCAATTTGGTAGCATTCATCAAGGCCGGAGTAGAATCCAGGCAGAATTCCTGAGCCGGAGTTCTAGCACTTACAACGTCTACCGAATCACTCGCAGCATAGACTTCTATAATAGATGAAAGTGCTTGGATGGAGGAATTCTGAGGTGAAATGTTGTTGTCGAAGTCTGAGTTCATGCTAATGCTCATTCAACAGCAGACGCTGCAAAGTGTCTGATGACGCTAATGATGCACTGCTTCCGATACTTTTTTTACATGGCCTTTTAATTGCTTTTCATGCCTGTGGAGCCGAAAAAATGGTACTGTGTCATGAACTAATGCGAGAGGTCACGTACTATGAAGTAATCCGCCTGTAGACGAGTGATAAGATGTGCGTTATTGATGCAGTGCAATCAGTAACTTACCCACCCCCCCCCCACTCAAGAAGAAGCGCTAGTTGTAGCGCAGCTACGAGTAATACTACAATGAGTTCTTTTCCTCACTAATTTACAATGATCGCAGTGAATTTCTTCATTACTATTACTGACTAGTATTTGACGATTCCTGAGCTTCATTGAATAAGTCTTCTGTGTAGCAGATTGAAGAGAAGCTCATTTAACATTTATTTCGACAACGTTTCGGGTTTATAAACCCTTCTTCAGGTCTCTCTAAACTATGTACATTGCATTCGGCAACAGCTAAGTAAATGTTACACATAGAAACTCTTAGGGAATCCTAGTCAAGGACTGACCTTGGAACGGAGGGGAGTTGGGACGATGTTGGGGTCCTGCGAGCTCAAAAGATTGCTGGAAATGGACGTTGAATGGTCAGGAAAGGGAGCTGCAACAACGACTCACCTCCCTCGCTGTCCACTTCGTTAGAAATGGAGCACTTCGGTCGGTGATGCAGTGCTATGGAGGTGACAATAAGATACACACTACTTCTTGCCAGTTGTCACGTAGCATCAGTCCTGCCATCATTCCGCAACCATATTTTCTTATCACTATCCAAGAATGACTTCCATTGTTCTTCTGAGCTCCTCCCGTTGTTGTTGATGGGTGGTTCCTCTTCCGCAATCTCTAGTGCTTCTTTGATTTTCCTCTCCACCCGGGTCATTATATTGCTGTGGATAAGCGCACGCCCTTGATTTCAGGAGCGCGTTCATTCGTATGACGCAGGAAGGTGGCTCGAGAAGGATTCTCCGGATACTGAAGGGTTCCGGTGGGCCTTAGGTGTTCGTCTAGCCTTTTGTAGAGTGGTCGTCCCGCTTTCGTCCAATGTAGAATTCCGAGCAGGACGCGCACTCTACTTCGTAAACAGTGGTTTTTCAACAGGCAAATTTTTCGTTCCTCCTGGCAATATGCACAGTTTTCGCGTCTGCATCGATCCTCGTACAATCGCGACGATGTAAGAAGCGCGCAGTGTTGGCGGTGGACGAATATCAGGCGGATTGGCATCCCAGATGTCCTTATCACGCGTTTAACATCTCTCGCAAAGGAGTCGGACATGTAAGGAACTATCAGTGGGATGCCATCGGACCTGGTATGGACGCCAACAATGCACTTGTCCGTTTTCCGTAGCCATTGTCGAGGAGTATGCTCAATCTTCTCCATCACTTCAGGAATATTAGTATAGAGTCAACCTTCGAGCTGTTCCCAAGGCATTCTGAACAAATTCCTTTCATAAAAGAGGGTGCAGCTTCTCGCATGAATAAGTATGTTCTTCGAAGCAGATTTTTTATGCAATGAGAGTATATGACCTCGGATAGGTTTACTTTTGTGTCAAGAACGGAAGGAAACCTGCCTGTTCAGGATCCTCATAGTCAGTGTTATATTCGATGCGCTGAATTCAGCCTCGTGAAGGTTCGACGTAGTGCTGTTTGGACTTGGCAACACGAATATATCGTCTATGTAACGACCGTAGAACAGCAATCCCGATGATAGGATACGTCTTTCCAAGCGATCCATGAATACTATCGCCAGAAGCGTGGCGACACGACTGCCCATTGCTAATCCTCGTGTCTGATATAAAAGTTGTTTGAAAACGGAAAACGTTGAACTTGAAACATTTATCAGAAGCTCTTCGATCTCGGATACAGACAGTCCGTAAAGCTGAACAACTGTTTCGGTTGTTGTCTTACAAGGCTTATGCACGTTCGATGGCCATCCTTGCATCTACGTTGGTGTATAACGCAGTTAGTAAACTTTGATATGATGTTCCGAACCGTTTGAATTGGTGTTTCCCGCAGCTTATTCAGAAAGTGATCAACGTTCTTGAGATGCGCAGGTACGTGATTGAGCAGTGGTGACAACATGTGCTGTAAGAACAGCTTAATCGCGTCCCGTTGGGCCTCCGCGATGATACAATCGGTCTCGTTTTGATATTGTTGATCATGATTCTCTTCTTTGGAAATTCCAACTTGTGGAGTTTTTGGACTAGCTGATAATACGTGGGTATGCACGTATACTTGGGAGAAGACGAAGCCAGAGTGTGTTTTCTAACTTTGGCGCGTAGAATCACTCTTTATTTTTCGAGTTTTTGCATTCTTGCTTAGTCTTGTCACCGAAACAGTTGGCAGCTTTACGACTGTCTGGTATCCGAGATCGAAGAGCTTCTGATAATGTTGTCAAGTTCAACGTTTTCGTTTTCGAACAATTTTATATGCAGACACGAGGATTACAATGGGCAGTCGTGTCGCACCGCTTCTGGCGATTAGTATTCATGGATCGCTTGGAAAAGACGTTTCCTATCACTGGGCATTGCTGTTCTACGGTCGTTATAGACGATATAATTCGTTGTTGCCAAGTCCAGAAACGCACTACGTCGAACCTTCACGAGGCTGAATTCAGGCGCATCGCATATAACACTGACTACTGAGGATCCTGAACAGGAGGTTCCTCAGTTTCTGAACACAAAAGTGCAACACTATCGGACGGTACATATACTGCTCCATGTGCATAAAAAATCTGCTTCGAAGAACATACTTATTCATGCGAGAAGCTGCACCTCTTTTTTATGAAGAGGAATGTTGTTCAGAATGCCTTGGGAAGCTCGAAGGTTGACGTCTACTAACTATTTCCTGAAGTGATGAGAAGATGGGCGAGCATACTCCTCGACATGGCTACGGAAACGGACAAGTGCATTGTTGGCGTCACTACAGGCCTCAGGAGGCATCCACACTGATAGTTCCTTACATGTCCGACTCCTTTGCGAGAGATGTAAACCAGCGTGATAAGGACATTCGGATGGCCATGCCGCCTGATATTTCGTCACCGCAAACTGGGCCGCCTTCTTACATCGTCGCGATTGTACGAGGATCGATGCAGACGCGAAAACTGTGCATAGTGGCCAGAGGAACGAAAAATTTGCCTGTTGAAGAACAATGTTTACGAAGTAGAGTGCGCGTCCTGCTCGGAATTCTACATTGGAGAAAGCGACGACCATCTACAAAAGGCTAGACGACCACTAAGGCCCTCCGAACCCTTCAGTTATCCGGAGAATCCCTTCTCGAGGCACCGTTCCTTGCGTCATACGAATGAACGCGTTCTCCTGAAATCAAGGTGCGCGTGATCCACAGGAATATAAGTGACCCGGTGGAGAGGAAAATAGAAGCACTAGAGATTCGGAAGAGGAATCCACCCATCAACAACAGGGAGGAGTCAGAAAAAAACATTGGATAGTGATAGAAAATATGGTTGCGGAATGAGGCAGGACTGATGCTACGTGACAACTGGCAAGAAGTAGTGTGTATCTTATTGTTACCTCCATAGCACTGCATCACTGACCGAACTGCTCCATTTCTAACGAAGTGGACAGCGAGGGAGGTGAGTCGTTGTTGCAGCTCCCTTTCCTGACCATTCAACGTCCATTTCCAGCAATCTTTTGAGCTCGCAGGACCCCAACATCGTCCCAACTCCCCTCCGTTCCAAGGTCAGTCCTTGACTAGGATTCCCTAAGAGTTTCTATGTGTAACATTTACTTAGCTGTTGCCGAATGCAATGTATATAGTTTAGAGAGACCTGAAGAAGGGTTTATAAACCCGAAACGTTGTCGAAATAAATGTTAAATGAGCTTCTCTTCAATCTGCTACACAAAAAAATTACTGACTAGTGGTAAACATTCCTAAATGCGCCACCAATATAACATAATGTTTTTTTTTACAATGTTGCCAAGATTTTATTCCGCATTTTGTACTGCAGCCCCACCATGCTTGTTTACATTCCATATTTTGACAAGTTTAGCTCCGCGACCGCGCGCATGAATCGAAGGCTTCGGTGAAACTGTACAGTCGGTGGAACGTCAGGTTCCACCGGTAGAAAATTAGTGGCTTTAAGGAATGCGTTAGCTCACTGTCCGCTAGATACGCGCGATAGAGCACGGAGCTAAAGTGATGCCTGTAAACAACAACCATGCATTGAATGTCAGAATAATTTGGCGGTTGAATAATCGTTGATGCAAATGATGTTGGAGTGAAACAAATACGCAGTACTGATTATCATGTTTCTTCAATTTCGACTTTCCGAAAATGTACGGTGGATGTTTCTTCATCCACCGTACATTTTCGGAAAGTCGGGGAGTGTAGTGGCCGAAACTTTATTTGGAATAAAGACGACGGCGCAAATGAAATGTTACTGAAATGAATTGCGTTATCTCAAATCTGCTTTCGAGTGACCTTTGAGAACTTACGCTATAGTTGTTATCAATCCTTATCATTCTTTACTCTTTCTGACTCCCCACCAAATATGTTCCCGTACCACCCTTTACATCACTTATCAAAACCAACGACTCTCTGTTGCTGGGTCACCCACAGTAAATTTCGTGGAATTTGCGTTCTAGCGGCTCGTATCAGATCTTATTAGTTGTGGTCACTTTCTGTGCCCCGCCAAATATGTCCCCGTACCATCCCTTACATCATAATAAAAATACAACCATTGACGACAACTGCGACACGCGCTATGAATTTCGTGACAGACAGACGGACGTACAATCAAACACACACAGAGATACTTAGCGGATATATAGTAGGAATAATAATTTACCTTCACTTCGCTTGTTTTGGAGTTGCCGAAAAGGTCAGAATTCAGGCTAAGCAATTAAGTGGAGTCATCCCATACGCGAGTTTCAGGAGGTGAGAAGTGACCTACCGTGCGCTACAGTAATCCCTAATTACATATATACCGACATATATACATACCAGTTTTGTTTCGCCCGCTATCGCGCGCATCACACGGCAGGCTTTAGCGAAATTGGAGGACCCATGGAATATCAGCATGAGATACTCCATTAACCATCTCACTATTGACTGTGTTAGACCCTCCACAGTTTCACTGAAGCTCATCGAGAGTACGCGTGTAACGTCTGAGCTGAACCGGTATATTGATCACAACTCTATAAACATCCAGCATTTTTCTTGAATTAAGATAGTTTAGCGGTGAATAGGATTGCTGTCAGTCTCAAAATTAAAACGAAATTATTTCTATTTACATAAGTGAGGAGCTAATGCTTATCATTCATCTACATTCATCATTATTCAGAACCAGGAAAGGATTAGCGGTTTAATGAGTTTTTTGTTTTCTTAATAGTCAGAAATGAAACTTATCATTTGCTGAAGACTTGTTTTTTAAAGTTTCTGCAGTCAAATTGTATTATAAGCTGGATATATATCGAAATAATGTGCACGTACCTTTGTTTGTACTACTACGACTTACTACAATTTGTAAGTAGGAACGCTCTAGTGTCAGCGCGAGCTGCGTAACGAAACTGACGACTTTTAAGTTCTGACGCGCCTTATCAGCCCTTATCAGTCGTTATCAGTTTCCAGCACCCACCAATAATGTCCCCGTCCCACCACACATAACACTTTTAAGTATGGTTGCTCTGGTGTCAACGCGAGCCAGGCAACTGATTCGACGACTTTGGCGTTCGAGCGCCCCTTATCAGCCCTTGTCAGTTGTAACCACTTCCAATCACCCACCAACAATGTCCCGGGACCGCTCCACATAAGACTTGTAAGTATAGACGCTCTTTTACCAATATGAACGGCGAAACGAAATTGGCGATGCTCGCTTTCTAGCCCCTCTTATCAGCTATAATCAGTCGCTATCAGTTCCTGTCACGAACCACTTGTGTCCCCATCCCACCCCCTATAACATATGTAATAACCACTGCGATATCGTTACTGTGACTCGAGCTATGAAGTTCATCGCGTCAAACACACACACAACACACCACACACACACAAACACACACACACACATCACGGACACCAACAAACACCTACCGCTATTATAGTAGGATTCTATTCTACTATATTAACGCAAAGCGCCGTCCTGCCGTGTGTTCTGTGTGTCTGTAGTTTTCTAACGCCGGAAATATCAATATATATATAATATAGTATATATAGATGTATATATATACTTATATATATATACTATATATATATATATATATTATATACATATATATCTATATATATTACACGAGCAGATTCGTGCGTATTTGTATTTAACACGTATCCTAGACAATAATATAAGAACCAACATGATAACGAAGAAACATAGAAACACAATAACAAGGATACAACACAAAACAAAAGAAAGAGAAGGAAATTGGTACAATGGAGTTACGGACTCAACAAGTGTCCACAATTGTTTTGAATGCATTGTAGGATGCTGTAAATATCCGACGCTTCTTGCATAACTTTCGAAACAAGAAAGAACTCTAGAAGTGAAGAAATGACGCCTGATATTTGATCTGGCTCTAACCACATCTAACTTTAACCCGTCGCCTCTCGTTATTGAGGACCTTCTCGTCCAGACGCTCACCGATATCTAAGTCCATTTTGCCATGTACCAGTTTGTGAAACAACAAGAGATCGTTTCTCCTCCGCCTGAACTCCAATGAAGTTAAACCCAAGTTTTTGTTTCTGACAGCAGCTGAAGGGATTTGGTCATACATAAAGCCGAGTACCCTCACCATTAGTTTTCTAGTGAAATTGTTTTGGACGGCCTCAAGTTTCTTAACTGACATAACCCGAAATGGGCTGAACACAGGGGTACCGTATTCCAAGATAGGCCTAACGTAGGACTTATAAGCCCGCAACAAGACTGAGGGGCTCCTAGTTGACAAAGCTCTGAACAAATTATACATGACAGCTGTAGCTTTTCTTGCAACATTTTCACAGTGATGATCGAAGTTAACACCCTTGGATATCAGAAACCCTAGATCGGTAACTTGATCGACTGCAGATAAAGGTGTACCGTTGATGTGGTAAATATGTCGAGGATTACTTTTCCCCAGATGAAGAACTCTAGTTTTGTCCTCAGAGAGGGCCAAATTCCAACTACGAGACCATTCCTCAGCCTTCCTCAGAGCCACACGAAGATCCACAACATTATTATCATTTGCTATGGAGCGGTAAAGCTTGAAGTCGTCTGCAA